GTAAAAGCAAGGCAAATATATTTATAGCAATTACATATAATAACACTATGGGAAATATCAATCATTGCAGACATTTCTTAAAATTAGTATGTTTTTACAGCTGCAGTTACAAGGTTATTGCTACTAAGAGTTGGCAGATCACTTTACAATACTCATTAAATTTATTCTTACGTTAACACTTAAGTAATATATTTTATTTAAAAATTATATTTGTAAATTTAATAAATATTTAAAAAATAAAATCATAAGCCAACACATGTAGTTACATGAAAGCTGATGCAATTAATATCATTGAGTAATTAGGGAAATCAACTTTATTCATTGCAAATTAGCAGTTAAATATAGGCCTGGTTTTAGCAATTGAATTATTTTGTTTTGTCAAAATTCTAGACAGTTTTTCCTATGATATTGTGTTAGAAGTTTTCAATATAATTAATGACTAATATCTGCATTTGATATATCACAAAAAACTAAGGTGATATTAATCATAATGACCACATTTATTATTTGACTCAAACTTTAAGTATAAATATGAAATGATAATGACAACGTAAAAATTATTTGACCCTTATTTCAGTGAATTTAATGCTGTAGTCATTGTTCTCCTACCCTTTTATAAGATAAGTAGGATTAAAACCATAATTGATAACGTGGGTAAATAAATGTATGTGGAGGTAAGTTGTAGATTCCTGAATATCAGAATTTTTAGCATACAACCATATGATACTAATAAATTAAAGGGATTTCATAGAACTTAAAAAAAGACATTTCAAGTTGATCTAATTGAACTGGTGATGGTTCATTTTTATAATCTATAGAAATATTGGTGTTTATAAAGGATTCAAAATATGTTAAATTCTAATCATTGTAACTACTTCATTTAAAGACCTCTAATAACTATACTAGAAATTTATTTATGGTCTGTGTAGGCTCCAAGTAAGAATGAAGGACTAAATGAGGGATCAGAAAGTTCTTATTTTTTGCAGTAATGCAACATCTGGAGTGAATTCTAAGATGTTAAGTAAAATATTCACACCATGGTAATCGTACTTAATATCATATTTTCACAAGTTTTCAATTGAACACTACCTTACTTTGATTTTAAGAAATTCTGTACACTGTTGAGTCTCCAACAAGCTATATCTTCTCTTCATGAAATGGTAATTAAAAATTTACTATGACTCTATTACTTGTACAAATATTAATTTCTAAATTGTTTCTTAAAGTTTTCCTAGTGTCAAAATGCATCTTTCATGATGTTGAAAATATTTCTAGAGACAAAGTCAACAGTCTAAACAAAAGATCTATAATCTTGATGACTTTACATAACTATGTTTCTTTTTAATCCATGCTTATTGTTTGTTTCTACAGTCTGCAAAGACAAAGATACTTTTGAGGCCATATAGAGGAGCAATCTTTTTCCATTAAGGTATCAGAACAGTAAGCTAGATCGATGTAACATGTTCACTGGTCATTGTTCAAGGAAAGCTGCAGCTACTAAAGGGAAGAGCAGAAGATGCCAACTGATCCTGTGCCCAGGAAAGGGACAATGTCTGTACATTCAAATCTGATAGTACTTGGTCTCCAGAAATTATTTTCTTGCCTAGACTGCTTTTTATCAACTCTTTCAAGGATTGTGAAAGAGTAGGAGAATCTTAATTAATGTTCTGGAAATTAAGAAAATAATTCTTTGTAAATTACTTGAGTACTTAGTTGAACTTTGTTTAGTGGTATCTACAGTCTGCTTTTTTTGTAGGTGACGTTGAGAAAATAATAATGATCAAAGTAAATAAGAGTTTTGTCAAAAATAAATGGTAAAAAGTGAATTGAGACAATAAGATTATTGGACGTGGTAAACAGAAAATCAGAACCATTGAGGGCTGAAGCACACTCCACAGAGGTATCCACAGTGTTAAGCTCTTCATATCAGTGTGGAAGGTATGAAAATCTAAGAGCAGTCATTACATACCAGATGAGTTAGATGAGAAAAATTCATATCAAACAATAGTCATGAATTGAGTTAAGGTATAAAAATAACTATGTGCTTGTATTTTGTACAGAAAGAGATATTTTAAAGCATTTTAACTTAATCTTACTCCTTCAAGTTATATCTCAGTACAATTCCCAAATCCTTAGGACTAGAGATTTACTTTGCTTAAGTTGAATATACTGTTTTAGATGATAATCAAAACACAAACATCTTTTGTGGTTATGAGCTAGCATTTGACATTTTCATGCATGAATACATCTAAATACACATTTAAATTAAGATAAACTTTTTAACCTTCTCAAATGTTGATTATCCCATAATGAAGAAAACATAAGAATTCTTTCTTAAGCTTCTTGAATCATATTTTACGTTATCATTAAGCAATGACTTTGCATTAAGTGATTGTCATCTCTGTCAGTAGTACCTATTGCTTAGCCTTTCCTCCGACTTTCTTTTGCTCCCCACTGGCATTGCTGGAATTCCTTTCTTAACTTATAAGACCCAAATTTTAAATTCCTCTCATGAATCAGACCACATGATGCTTTTTTTCCTGTGCCTGAGCTATTTTACCTGTTTTCATTATCTTCAGTTCATTTGTCACAAATTACAGGATTTAATTTATTATTTCTGAATACAAGGCTATAAGTATTTAGTTGGTAAGCAACTGTTATTTAAATATATACTTCAATAAGTGAGTAAAATTATATATTTATATATTATTGTTTAACAAATAAGTTCCCAGAACTATATTATTTAATCTTGTTGATATTATCAATAATACATTACATATTTTATTTAAAATATTTATCTCATATTAAAATATTTGAATTAATGTTTTAACACACTATTCTATGTGTATGTAATATGAAAACAATAAGAAAAAAATTGTTGTAGAAAATGACATTATAGTACAGAAATATTGACAGCAACTCAACCTTAGGTAAAAAACAAGATGTGTTTGTGTCTCTCTGAGTGTATGTGTGTGAAGTATTTTACTCAGTTGCTAAATACTGTGTGTTTAATGATGGAAACTACATTTAATGGTTTTGAAAAGAATATACCAAATTATCTAGGGAGCAGTTTTCCTCCAGTGTGGTTCCGTAAAGTGCAGCATTAACATTTCTGTTTATTATTCAGCAATAAAGAAGGACAGAATTATGCCGTTTGTAGGAAAATGAATCATGCTATGGAAAATATATGCAGAATTAAAATTTAAAGGAAAACAGAGGTGTGAAAATAGAAGGGGGTGTTTGAAAAGAGAAAGATAGGAGTCAAAAGAGGGTAAATGAGGATGAATATGATTAAATTATTCCCAAATAAATTGCATAATGAAACTCTACAGTGCATATAATTAACACATAATGCTAAATTTTTATTTTAAAACATATAATGTCATTAATACCTAACATACCATGAAACAATAACTCTGGTGTAAAATTTCCAAGGGTCTCTAAAATCTGCTGCTATTAAAAACACTTGCTGAGGGGAGTGTTTCAACCTTGTAAATGATCTAATAAAGAAGGGAATTAGAGTTACTCAGGGAAGGAGAAGTAAGCTAAGTTTTACTTAGAACAATGTTTTTCTCTAGACTCCTTAGTGAATCTAACATTATGATTATTTTTCCAAAATTAGATGCTTTTAAACTCTCCAAACAGGCCACATTTGCAAGATATATGCAGTTGGAAATGTTACATTATGGCATCTTAGTACTAGAAATACCTAATTGTCCCCCATTATTCTGTGTCAAACCTTGCCCTACTTCTCTTCATACAGCAACTCTTAATCCTTTGAGTATTTCCTTACATACTGCCTTTCCAGAGTTGCTCTCCTTGGCAATTAATTAAAAAATAAGACAACTCCTTCTATTGTTGGTTGTTATTGAAGGTGGGCTTCGTAATACTAAGAACATATTACTAGAATATTGTTTAATGTAATTCTTTCCTTTGTTTATTTATTTTATAATCTCCACTTGAAAATGGGCATCATGGTAACATGGTTCTCCATCACAAATATATCCTTAATCATGTATATTTCTCTGGCACACTTAAAGCATTTTTGCAAGAAATACAGGAAAAAACTTGCAAAACCACTGTTTAAAATAATCTTAATAATTTTATGTCAGTTTATCTAGCTCACCAAAAATTTTCCTAAGTTTAACATTAATTTAAGTAAAGTAAAATACATTAGTTTTTTTTAACATACACAATCTAATGCCCTTATGTGGCTGTTCTGTCATTTGAAAAATTCATCTATAAATTATTCATCTTGAAGCAATTAATTTTGGTAAAAATTAGGATTTTTAATACATTGCATATGATAAATGTTATAAATATAAAATTAAAATGATCAGAAATACAGTTGTTCATTAGAGGGCTTAAAGAATAAAATTTTTTCTGCATCTGAAATCTTCCCAAAATTTAAGAGTTCAAATTTAAAAATGAATGGAAATGATGACTTTGGAATGGTGATGTCAATTTTATTTTTTATTGAAGTACTCATCATAGATTAACTTTTACTTTCAAATTATTTGTTTTTGTTTGACTGAATTTGTGTTTTATATGTCTATGTAGAAATTGAAGTTACAGGAAGCTGTTAGCTGTCATAAGGGTTCTGGGAATTGAACCGTGTCCTCTGGAAGAGCAGTCAGTGTCCTTAACCAATTAACCATCTGTCCAACCCAGAATAGATTATCTTAATTTTTATTATTCTTGTTTTTTTTAGTACTACATACAATTTTTTCAAAAGGAAATATTGTTTGTGTATATGCATGTCATTGAGAAAATATCTCAGTAGAATTTATTCAATTTAAGTATCTTATTTTCACTCTGAATTGGTTTCAATTCCAGTATAGTGAATTATAGATGTGACCTCTTCTACCCACAGCTTCTGAAACATTACTACAAGTTACAGTCATTGTAATATAGAGACATCAACTAAATTCCCAATTGAAGTTTTCAAATGGAAATACTCAGATTGTTCAGTTGTGAATAAAAATAAATTTGCTTTTCAGGGAATTTGGCCGTTGGAAGGTAAATAATCTTGCAGTTGAGAGAAGAAACTTCCTTGGCTCTCCTTTGCCTCTTGCCCCTGAATTCTTCCGCAACATAAGGCTTTTGGGACGGCGACCTACTCTTCAGCAAATCACAGAAAACCTTATCAAGAAATATGGGACTCATTTCTTGCTATCTGCTACTCTGGGAGGTAGGAGCTTTTGAAATTATCTGTGCTTCTGTTTGCCTACATAAACCTGTATATTCACTCTAGGAAGAACTTTAATCCATATCACCACTGTAGACTCTATTCATTATCAAAAATATTGATGAACTGATCACTGAACGCCTTCTATAATATTCAAGTTTCCTAGAGTGCCAATATACATGAAATGTATGCATAGTTGTAATAATCTATTATACAAAGTGACATGGCAAATCATGTTTAAAAATAAACAGCTTCAGTTCAGGTGAGAGTCATCATTTCTGGTAACAGAGAAAAGAAATGATTTCTAGGAGTAAGTGGTAAATTTCAATCTTTTTAAAATTCTGCTCTTCCAATAGTCTGTACTTGACTTATGATTATGGGAAGGAGAAAAATATAACAGCTGATTGATAATATTTTGAAAAAGGTTAGCAAGGTTAAGAAACCTATGATTATTTCTGGTTAAGTATGGATTTCATATTGTTATTAGTAATCAGAGGCTTGAATAATCCTGAAGGATGTTCAATGAGGTAATAATAAAGAAAGAAAATATGATGCCATAAAATATTTTCAATTTTCCAATTCTCTATATGTAATTATACACATGTCTACCATAAGCTCTGCAGATTCTAAAAAAGTACAAATTAGTAATCAATATTAAAGATTCTATATGAGACTGGCTATAAAATTTGGACACGGTAGCCGAGGGAAGAGTATGTGCTTCCTTGTCAGTCTCTCCTTGAATTTACAAAACGTGGCTGTACTGATATTGTCAATGAAGCAGTGCTGTGGAAGGCTGCTTTCTTCATGTTCCTCAGCATAATAGGATCAGGCTTTTCTGTTCTTAGACACACCCCCTCCCCCCAAAAAAAACAGTCTGACATAAATACAAACAGTTAATTATTTCAGGATATATCCCTTAAGAAACTCTGCCTTGAACTTGTATGTGGAATGCTCACAGCAAGTCATCACATATACATGAAAGTCTTCAAAATTTACCAGAGAATTCTTTTGTGGTCCATTCTTTATACTGGATATTTGTAAACCTGAATCAATTATGATCTATTTTTAGAGGCAATCCCAAACATGACAGTTAGCATAAAATCTTAGTTTCTTGTGTTTTACAAGTCTAAAATTATAATCAAGTGCTAGTTCACATCTCAAACATCACATGTGACTATTCCTAACATTCTTTTTTTTATTTCAGCGATGTTTAACTTACTACTATTATAAATGTAAGTGTGTCAGAGGAATTCCTGCTCAACTAAGAGTACAGTAAAAATTTTGCAATAATTATCATCATATTTTGCCTTCTTCATAAAATGAATACATATTCCAAAATACTGTTTGTAGAAGTGTTTATGACATCTTTACTTCATCTTCCTTAAGAAAAAGACCTTGCACATATGTGTTGTACTTTCTCTTTGTGGTTATAATAGATGTTGATGTGAGACAGGTTCTGATTAAATTGTCTGTCCAATATTTGCCTATGCCAGGGTCAAAGAATACAGAGGTTTCTGACAAATGTAATTGTTTATAATAATTACATATACTATTGAAATTCTGTCTGAATGGAAGGAAAAAATCTAAAATGATAGAATTTTATAAAGGTTCATAATTGAAGAGTATCAAGGTCATAGAAAAAGGCAGATATGTAAGATATAGCAGATGGAAAAAGCATAGAGCCCTCTCATATTTAAAAATGGCAGCAACCATGTAATATATATATATAAGTGAGAAAAACATATATATACATATATGCATATATAAAAAATAATAAGAGTATCTCAAAAACTGTGATTTTGTGTAACCTTTTACACATATATGCATATATAAGAAAATGATAAGAGTATCTCAAAAATTATGATTTTCTGTAACCTTTGTCTATTTTTCTTTGGAACATCAAGTACTATAAATATAATAAAATCTGTACAGTAAGAATATTTTTGTTGATAAAACTGCTATCTTTTAGAAGTTGAATAAGCTAAGACCTAATGCTTCATTGCCTTTATCAAAAAATAGTGTAATTAGAAATATTTTCATCTATAAAATAAAGTTTATAAATAGGAAAAAAACAGAAGTATATGCACTTTTCATCGATAAAATTATTAACACATTTTTCAAATTTTGCAGATTTTGAACATAATTGTTGTATTATTTTTATAATATAAATGGTATATTTTGTTTTTATTTTTACAATTTTATATTGATTTTTGCTTCTGCTGGTGGTGTTGGTATTCTATAAGTGGTGTTTAAAAATCTTCTTGTGATTAATTCACTTTGTGGGTTAACTTTTCCAATGACACAGAGTTATGTCAGTATTTACACATGCCACATTATCTTCCGGCAAATATTCCAAATTATTCTAATAGAGAATACAAACAGCAAAGAGAAGATTAAATAAAACTGTATGATCCAAAGGCAACATAAATTTGGCTATTATAAAACAATAATGTTTCTAAAACTTTAAGTGAGACTATTCAATGCACAAAATAAATATACTAAAATATTTATGGGTAAATTTATATAATATCATAACTGAATCTGTCATGAAAGCAATAATATCCTGGTAATAGCAATTTAATCAAAACAATGTAAGAGTCAATCTGTATCAATAAAATAAAGGATCAATCATTTCTGGAATATTCTTACTGCTTAAAACAATTTGAGGCTCAGTGAAATCTCTGCCACACTATTAGTGGCATTATTGACTGAAAAGAAATATAAAAATTAAAATTTGTATGGAAGTAAAGAAACCATTCCAAATATCTAAAGACATTTTGACATTCTGAAAAAAAAAGACATTTAAAAGTATGTGATACAACATTCTGATTCAAAATAAGGATTGAAGTCATAGGAATTCATCATGAAGACATTTTCTCTTATAATTTATTGTGTGTGCTTAATTTATGTGAATGTCTTTTTCAAGCATTCCTTTAAGGCCATTGAATTGGAATTACTAACCCATCCTTTGGATCATGGAATAACTCTTGAATTTAAAGATTAAGGCATTTTCTATCCTAATGATATTTAATCTAAATGTTACCTAAACAAGACTTTATAGTTGATAGAGTTAATGACTGAGTTGAATTAAGTGAAATTATTCAGTTGGTTAAGTATACACTGTCTTCAATTAGAGAGTAAAAAATGACAAATTCCAGGCAGTCTTAAAATTGCCATTGTAATTGGTCTTTGTCCATTTGCTTCATATTTTTAGTTGATCAAGCATGAGATCTTATATTCTGTTAAAAACATATATACACATTTATATGTATGTATCTATGTATATATATATATATATGTCAAGCAACATGAGATGTATAATTAGTTTAAACCAATTCTGTCTGTACATTCTCTTATAATTTTTCCTTGACCCTCCTAAAATGCTAAGAATAATTAAAACATCAGCACACTGAAGGCTCATATATATCCGTATATATATATATGAATATATTAAAAAATGTTAGTGTTGTCATTATTTTATGAAAATAAGAATGTTCACCAAAACAGGAGCATTTGGAAAAAATAAATTAACCTTAATATATTCTATACCAATATTAAAGACATGAAAAAATATGTGAAAGATGTTTTTTCCAGGGTTCCCTAGGGCATCATGCTTTGATATCATGTTATCAACTTAGATATAATATATGGATCCTTCATTTGAAGACTTTAATAAAATATTGTATGATAGATAAAAACTGTTGTTTGAATTATCTTTCTTCAAAGAAAAACCTCTATCTAAAAATATTCCTTTTAACTTAAAAAAAGATTAGAAATTATAAGATAAAGTTTGGTCGAATTGCTGTTAGTGTTAATTTTCTATTTTTGCATCCCCATGAGCTTAAAACTTAAATACTCTTTTTTAAGTTTAGTAATAGTCAATTTTTTACTTTAATCACTGTGAAGTGTACAAAGTATCCAAAACTGAAATTCCTTGTCATATGTTACCTTTTCCTGATCAATTAACACCTGTAACCATCCTTCCATCTGGATCTCTTCTAAGAAAGTGTAAACTTCTTTTAATTTAGTTAAAATTAGCATAATTGGAAAAACAGTAATTGAATATAAATCCATATCTTAAAGAAATATGAATAATTATCTGAAAATCTTAGAAATGACTTCTATGGGGATATTAGTTTTGTTACGAGGAAAAGATAGCAAGGATAATACAGAAATATTTTCTGAAGTTTAGGCCATCAGCGTTGGTTTAGAATGCAGCAAAGGCAAAAGAGGACAAAATCATTTTGGTTAAGACATGGTATTCTCTCATACTTCCTCATTCTACCAGTCTTTCCCACGTCTCGGATATGCAAAATGAAAGGCCTGAAGCTAAGAAGTAAGTTTTCATTTGGGCTGTTTGCAAGACAACTATCTACTAAAATGATTTAAAAACCATGTATAAAAATGATAATAAATATAATAGGGTAGATTGATTAACATTTTCCATGTTATCTGTTTTTAATAACAGTGTTCTTAACAATGGATGACTAGATAAAAGTTAATTGGTATAATCCTTTTCAATCCAGTACAATTTTACTCAGCATCCTTCATGCAGTATATTGGTAAAGCAGATCAATCACATACACATTGTTTGCTTAACACATACCTGCTATCTATGAAAAAGCTTAAGAACTAAATGCTTCTTGCAGCATCATCACTGGGTGATTAACAAAGATAGTCATTTCTTTTAGAATTAGTCATTTTGTGTATGATGATCTCATCATTTGGAGAGAGTCAGCAGCATCAGCACCATCTTGGAGCTTGTTAGAAATGCGGAATTGCATATTTAGTCCCCGATCAATTTCACAACATTTTTAGGTGACTTCAATACACATTAAGTTTGAACAGCACTTTTTGTAGTGCCTAAATAATTCGAAGTGCACTCAAATCAACAAGAAATCTGGCTTCTGAGAATAAATGTATAGAAAGCATAGGAGCAATTCTGAGCTAAACACTAAAGAAACACAAACATCTTCATTTTGTGTTGATTTTAACTGTCTTCA